ATATGTTATTACAGTAGAAATTGCGAAAAAAAATTAATTGTTAAAACTGGGGCCAAAGGCCGTCAGTACAGTTTTCTCAATGAGTTTAACAGCTAGGAGTATAATATTTGCAGAGTATATGTAAAATTTAGAGCTGAACAAGTTTACTTAAGACACCAGGACAGGTTGTCTTAGTAAAATAAATAGTTATAAGCGTTTTTTGACGAACGAATTTTTTAGTTAATTTTTGTACAATGGATTTGCAGAAAGAGTTTTTTTATTTATAACATTTTAAAAATAACTTCAATATAGATTTTCAATGTTAATTGAATAATTTTATGCTTAATGTATTTCTATATATATATAATGTCTTACTAAAAGAATAAAACTTTGAATTTAATTTTATTTTAAAATATTTAATAATATTTTATCAGATATAAAAAAGACAATAAAAATGAATTGATGTTAAAAAAAACTAAAAATAGCTCTTATTAAACCTGATTTAGAAGTATTTCAAAATGATTTTAAGACAAAATCATCATTTGACTTCAATAAACATTGCAAGATCTACTTATATTTTAATGCTATTTTATCTTTTACTAATGCATTTACTATATTTTGAAACTTTATATAATTATCTCATATCATGAATATACTCAAATACATGTTATGCTTATTAGTTTTATATGTATTATTATTTAAAACAATATTATAAAATTGCTTATACAATTCTTGCTAGAATGAAGACATCCAAAAAATACATTTATTGCCAAAATGTTAAACAAACATTATTTAATTTGTATCTTGAACTTTTTTTTCAAAAAATGCATTAAGGAATAAGCCAGAATCAGAATTCAATTTATTACTATTATTATAACATTTGTAAATTGTATTATAAACATCTTGTTTATGAAAAATATAATGCAGATATTTTTTCTTAAGTATCTCTAACTGTATAATTAATACTACTTTACAGTTAGTAACTTAGATTAACATGGCAAATTATTGTGACTAATAAAATTAAATATTATATATTCTTTATACATATATATTTAGTTTAAAAGAGTTTATAATCCTAACATCTATTAGTTGGATATGACTGTGGCATATAGAGACAATGTTTCTATCTTTATATTAGTTAATACTTATATCTTTATCAAAAATATGAGTTGGTCATTATCAATTAAAAGTAATATATATCACTTTTGATATTAAATTTCTGAATTCATAACGATAACATTTTTGACCATCCAACTCGTTAACAAATCAGCATGATAAAAGCTAGTAAGCACAAAATCAAATTACAATCTTTGGTCCAATACAACAGTCATGGAGAACAGGCAGATTTCAAATAATTCCATGTTTTCCAAAAAATGTTTCTGAACGCCAAACATTGTTAAAAAATAAATCGCCAAAGAAATTTGAGAAACAAATATATGGTATACAATTAGCGATGGTCATACCAAACCAAAATACATCAAATCGTCGATTGTATGTCGTTTAACTTGAAATTTTATTAACATCTAAAGAATTTTATGCGACACCCACCTAACAATGTAATCTCAAATCTCAACTTCAATTTATAGATTATCAAGCTTTAAGAATGTTATAAATAACAAAGAGTATTCTTGAAGCTTGCGACAAGATTCAATAAAACCAAGTCAATATTTTGATGATAAAGATAATCTTGTACGTGATAAGACAACTTAGTCGGTGGCAACCGAGAAATCAAGAGTTTCGATCACAATTTTGTCAGAGAAAAAAAATCAAAACTGAATTTTTTACACTGGTCCTCATAAGGACCGGGATAGACCGTGTCGGACCGATGCAGCACTAAACACTGCCTTCACGCATTTAGTTTATTTGATTTGTATTATTCGCCCAACACACAAATGACGATATGTAAATTCGTGTCTTCTGCTACACTTCGGACAATAGTATAGTTAAATGAGTAACACCAAATGAATATCAGCACTAGGAATTCTATAAATAATTATCTAAATTTAGAGTACTGTATTCGTAATATCAGTATGATACGGGAGACCAGAATTGTACGGTATGGAGGCCATGTCACACCTTACACTTGTAATATACAGATCAGTATGGTATGGGTGTGACCAGAATTATATGATTTGAGAGAATGCGCAGTACAAATTTAAAAAACGGTACTATCAGCTGTAATTCCCAATCCTAATATTGTGTATAGTAATGGATCAGTATGATACGATTTTTTAACATTCGTATTGTACACCCATATCATACAGATCCAATATTCGTGCTGGTCCACGTATTCTAGTTGATAAAATAGCAATTGAACCCTCTATGAATATTCAATAGATAAAATGTATCTTTCATAATTTATAGAATTTATACATGAAGATGTAAGAAAACTTTCATAAGTACAGTTTAAAAATTATATAATTACTATTCTTCCGTGTAGGGATTTCAATAAATAAAATTAAATATTTTTTATTTCTTATCATGCTACTATATCAATAGCATTATGCTATTTGAGCTTTCATATGCTCACTGAAAAAAAAAAAAAATAGACATGAATTACATTGAATATACTAAACACTAACCGCCTTCATAAACTTCACAAAGATTGCATAGCGACTCCCTTGCTTCTAAGAACTCATCATGAGATAAACCTTCACTACCATCATTAAATTCTGGAAAAAGGTTGAAATTGATCTTCTGAAGATCTGTTTTATAATTTTGAAGAAGCTTGTGAACTCTAGTGGATATGGTGAGATGAGATAATGTTGGCGCAGAATGAATTGGATGAATGTCTATAAACTTTGCCGACTCATCAATGTACCCATTAGTATTCAAACGTTTGAATATATTAGGGAAAGAATTTGGAATAGGATAGAAGACGTTAGTTGCAAAAAAAGAATTATTATAACTCCCTAAAGACTGGAAACGTCCGAATATATCAGAAATAACATTAGACGATTTTTTTTTTGGTTCGACCTTTGAAACTGCACGAAATTCATCAGGGATCCCTCTTGCTACCACAGACTGTCCATAAATTGTTGATAGACACTGCATAAATAAAAGAATCAATGTTATTGTATTAAATAATGTAATAATGTAAATAAACAAATTTCATACGGGCTTTGAAGAGAATGAAAGATCATTTATAACACTACGATCATCATCGGGCAATAACGTTTGAACATCTACGTCACCATATACGCTCATCGGTAGTGGAAATGCGAAGCCTAGAGTTCCTATTTTTGTGTTTCCGCGCCAGTTGAGTCGAGTAACCAAATCATGCATGTGTAAAGTATTACGACGTGATCTATAGTTAAAAAATAAACCATTCACGATACAATTCTGTTTAAATCAAAATAGTAACTACTTTAATGAAAATTATACCTAAAAGGAAATGTGGAAGTTTCAATTGCAGCAGATAAAATACAACTCGAATGATATGGTAAATTTATCTAATATAATAAAAGTTAATATCAGTTGATTGCATCCAAGAAATTCATGCCGATCATTAGCCGCGTGATAGCATATGGACATATTATTCGAGAGTTTAAACCTTTTAAATGATGGATAATTTTTACAAATTTTTTGCTAAATGAATTTTAAATAACAATAGAATTCATTTTATTAAAATCATCGAGAAACTCACTTAAAATTTAAAATTCCGAATTACGAATTCATGTGCTATCATGATGCATGATCTGCGGATTTTCTAGTAGTATTAAAAATAAACTTAACCTACAGTCGGCTGAATATATTTGGTTGAGCTGCTTCTCAAAAGATTTGCATTAACGTTCAAAGGAATGAACAAAGACGATAATTCTGACAAAAAGATGGTACTGAGAGAAGAATTCATGATCTGCTTAAAATATCTCTTCTATTCATTTAAATAAGTACATTGAGTGAATGAGAACTTATTAGAAAATTAATGAACATATTTACTTACATGTCCTATTGGAGACAATTCCTGACCATCAGTGATACCAAAACTAATAATAGATGTCTTTGGATATTCTTCGCGCAATCGTTCAATGAAACTACACGAGAATCCCCCAAACCCGTCAATGACATTTGTCATTACTTGAAATCCCTAAATTGTAAATATAAATAAATATAGAGTGATATCATTGTATCATAAGGATCCAATAAAGATACCTGTATTGCATCACATTCTTCCGTAAAAAACCTGAGATTTTCTTCAAACGAATCTTCCTCCTATGATGAATAAAAAAAAAAAGTATTTACATTTCTAGATTTACAAAAAAAGGCCACGAAAGAAAAAATGCCGATATCACACCTTTTGCTGATTAAGATATGCATTCTTTCCATAAGAAAAAACATCAAAAGGAATAGTCTCATCACCAAGTTGATAATTGGAAATGGTATTGATGCTCTTTGGATGATAGTAAATTTTGTTGAAATCAGACCACGTATTCACTGTCTCATCCAAATAGAAAATTTTTTCTGCCGAATCAATTTCCATATTATCTGTATGTCCCCTTTCTTCCTGATTTATATGGTGTTTGATCAATAAAAAATATAATTAGAAGCGTCAGCATAATGCTTATTTTACCTCTTCTTCCAAACTTTGTAAATATTCATTCTTCGGATATGGAGCCTGTGCATAAGTTTCAGACTTCCAATCCCTAGTAACAAGATTGTGGAAGCAAAATGCAAATATACAATTGCATGAACTAAAGATGATCATTACCAATTACACTCTTTCTGGTCAGCGTCTTGATAATCTGAAGTCTCATCATAAAGTCTGTTCATCTTTTTAATAGAACCAAATCCTCCTAAAAATTTATATGCAAGAAAAAGCTGATAAACACCAAAGGTTACAGGGGTTTATTGCCTGCTAACCTTTTAAATCATAAACCATCAACCGTGGAGTATAAGTTTCGATTCCCTGAACAATAAAAGAAAATCCCATATTAAAATATTGAATAAATGATCCACATGTAATAATTAGATCATGATAAATTTACACTTTGAGTAATGCCTGCACGAAAGAGAATATCATGGAGAACAGCAGTTTCTTGAGCATGTTGACCAGTATCAAATGAAAAATATTCCTCCTTTTTATAAGTAAAAAAAAAATAAGCAAGGCTTATCATAATGAGGTGGTTCTATACACTAGATAAAAAGCGATATGAATCACAAACTTGAGTGTTCCAAAAGTGCGCACCAACATAGTTAGAAAAATGGCCAAATTGTAAGGTCACAATCTCGAGCATTATGAATCTCGAATTCGTTTAAGTTAAAAATCGAACGACGGAAAGTATTTTATTGTTCTCTTGAATATGATTGGCCGATAAAATGTACCATTATTGTAATATAATCGGATGGGAAGATTTAATACAAAAAAGAAGTGTAACATACTGTGCAGTAACATGTAGATCGATCAGAACATTGTAGAACATACACGTCCTTGGGGCTAACGCTGGCTGAAATGGATGTTTCAACCAAGATTAGAAAACACGTACGTATGAAATAGTTTAAATTACATCTAGGTTACATGACCACCATTTAAGTTACAAAGTACATTATATGCTAAAAATATATTCACCTATATAGGCAAATCGTAATCTGTGATCAAGCAACAAACTTATTTGAATTGTAATTTATACGTATCAAAGTTCATTTCAAGCACTAAAAGAGACCACCTTTTAGACTAAATTAAGATAAAATATGACAAAATAATTCGATAAAATATGATAAAATAGAAGGTTCATGTAAGTTATTATGGTATTTAAAAATATAATAAATATATAAAATGTCGAATGTTAAAGCAGGCCGGTTTTAATTTTGGTCAATATTAAGTTAGTGCAACATACATAACTTATATGCAAGTTACGTCAGCTAAAATGAAACTTATGTCAGTTAAATAATTATAATTAAATAATTTACATGTTAACAACCTTAGATCATGTGTTTACAACGGGCCTGTACAAAATTCCTTAACGTTGGGAAGCACGAAAGTACAAAGATATATTTATTTTGCCCCCTGCATGAGTTTTGTAACCTGTTTGCTTTATTTAAATTCAAATGTTTACATGGTACAGTCTTATGATACCACAAAAGTCTTCATTAATAGATGGGAACCAGTTACATGTACATCTCCCGATATCGTTCAGACATGATACGCTTGATCGGCTCAACTATACCTAACTATTTGGGGCTCTAGCGTATGTTCATCACAGATTATTAAAATTTATATAAGAAAAAATGCTGCTTTATTCATAATGCATTTGTAGAATATAATATCTTCCCTGACCCCTTCGTTCCAGGGTGTTGGCTCGATAATGTATACTTTCATTGCTTTTAATAGTTCATTGATTTAATATTAAAGTTTTTTTTTTTTTTTTTTCTGAATTGCTGGGAAAAAAAAATGATAATCCCACTTGTTTAGCATCCGGTGCAGATCTTGGAATAAAAGTAACTTATTAAATCATTGGGATTGGTTCATCCGAGCAGACACGGATGACGATCTAATAACAATCCCGATCCTTCACCTAGTTTATACGTACGTACGTACAAAATTTTGATTAAAAAAAAAAAAAAAAAATTCTCAAATATAAACTTTATCAATTTTTCACCGCATATATGCGCTCCGCATCATTTTATTACAAATATATATCTAAAGCTGTTTTTGTACGTTTGTACCCATATCTTAAAAAGAATTGTTTTTTTTTATATTTTTTATGTAATTAAAAAAATTTTGTATTTTCCTTACGTAAGGCTTTTTATATAGAAAGAGAGTTATGAAATAAATAAATACGTTGATAATCCGGCACCATCCAACATCCATTTTACACTTATCCCTGTTTAACTGTAATAATCTACGTTTGATTTGACGAATATGATATCAACTAACCCTCCTAAACGTGCACGCTTATATGAGACAGACTCAAGTTTACGAGAACAACAACACTTGCAACAACTTCATCCTCAACAACTTCAACTAAACTTACAACAAGAACAGCATAACATTCAAAGACAATTATATCAACATAATCCTGTTCTTGGTGACTTTTCTTCTCAACAACCACCATTTTCGCTACCTCCTGAGAACACGAATTCTTTATCGTCATTCACGGACCTTAATAACAAACTTGAAGAGCCTTTAAATAAACAAGACTTGCAACGACTTGAAAAAGTCATTGATTTAATATTTCCGAATAAATCTAATGCAGCAAAAGAAGCTGTCTCTATTCTTTTAAGATCTTCAAATGCATCCTCCACGAAAGAAGACGATTCAACTTCTATTGTTCTTGACCTTCCAGTGATTGTTGATGAACCTGATCAAATAAAGTCATTATTAGGTCATATGTTAAATCATACCTATCCTAGTTCTTTGGTTGAATTAGTTGGCAAACTTAATAAGATGTCTATAAATCCTGCAAGACTAGATTTTATGAATCCAGGCGCAAATCCACCTTTAATAAAATCAGGCACTTCAAATAATCCTTCTTTAATTAATTTAGATCCCCCATCAAAAGAATTGCGTAAAAAATTGATAAATGATTACTTTACCAAATTTAATGTTGTTGTTCCTATTCTCGATCGTAAAAAATTCGCCGATAAATGGAAAGATAAATCACATCTTTCTGAATTATTAGTTAATTCGACTTTAGCTGTATCTGCGGCAAGGTATTCTAATGATCCGTCGATACAAAAAACACCTAATAAACCAGGTGGCGTGTTTTTCGATTCCGCAAAGGTATATGCATGTGTATGCACCTAGCTTTGTGCACGTGATCCGTCTTTAGTCTAATTCCTCTTTCATAACAGAGATTATTAGATGCAATGTACGATACTCCAAGGCTTGAAACTGTTCAAGCTTTACTTCTATTAAGCCATGCAGAGGTTAGTGTATCACGCATAAATAGTGGATCAATGTTTCTTGGTATGGCCGGTATGTGTTGATGTTTTGCATTGCATAATCGCATATTTATTTTATATAAATTTATATATTAAATTTGTCGCATTAATACTATTAATACTATTAATACTATTAATATATAGTACAAATGGCTCATGCTTTACATCTTGAACGAGATGAAAGTTCTTTTCATCCGGAAGAGGATGAAGAAAAGCGTAGGGTGTTTTATTGCATTTATTGTTGTGAAAGGTTTTTATCCTTTCATTTTATTAGTCAATTGTTTATATTACCATTTTATATTAATAAATAATATATCTTATTTAGATGGTCATCATTCTCAATGGGCAAACCTTCAAATATAGACGATGTAAACATCAATGTTCCTTTGCCTACATTGAATTCTTTCAGCTTTTCAACAAGGAGTTTCTTCATAGCTTTTGTAAAGTTATCACGTATACTTAGTCAAATTTGGAAATTTGGTTATTCTTCTCAACCTAAAACGGCAAATACAAGTTGGTTGGATCAAGTAACGGATCGAAAAAGTATGCTAAGACAAATCCGTTCGGCATTGGCAAAATGGTTAAAGGAATTACCGGATGAATTACAATACCAATATTTGCCTAATACCGACCCAAGAAGTCTCCTTCAATTGGCAACATTTTCTATTTTTTCTGGTCAGATATTAATAAATATTATAATCTTATTCTTTGTTCATTATATTTGTAATATTATATTTACAATCTGTGTTTTTTTTTTGTTTATTTTTTTTTTTTAGGATATATAAATATTCTTTTTCATACTTGTATAATTGTACTTCATCAACCATATTTGAATAGCACTTATAAGAATCCAAAAATTGAAATGCAAGGTCCAAGTGGTCCAATTAAAACGTGTCTTACTGCGGCTACAACACTTACAGACATCGCCAAAACGACGCGGAAATATGACAAGGAATCATTTTGCAATTTTCAATATCTTATATATGGATTATTACAGTCAACGATGGTAGAATTAGATATTATTTATGAGACACAAGAGTACGAACAAAGTGCTAAAAGGGCTTTAGATGATACAATTGAAGAATTAAGATTCGCAGCAGAAAATTCTAAATTTATTTCTCTCCAAGAAACTGTCAAAGAATTAGAAGGGGTAATAATGATAGTTAATGGAAAATCTTCAGACATTGTGATTCCATTTCCAGTTGTTATGCAAATGATGGAATCACGGAATAATTTTGAAAATAATTATGGAAATATAAACACTTGTAGAAATTCAGGATCATCAAAATTTTCTTTATCACCAGTTAGTGAAAAATTATCTACTTCATCCAACACGTCAGATGATGATTTAAAGGTTAAATATTCATCGTCACCTGAGCATACAGAATATCAACCTAATAGATCTCCTTCACAAACATCACTATCAGATAAATTAAATTTAGCATCAACATCCTTATCATCACCATCACATTATCTCCAACCGCACTCTTCCCCAAGTCATAAGCAACAAACGAATCCAAATATTTACATCATGTCTTCTGATTATCAAGACCAACCTTCATTACAATTTCATCAATCTCAACCGAATGTATCACCTAATTCATCAGCTCAATGGAATAATTCACCATTTTTCATGAATGATGAAATATATGGATTTGTAAATACTCAACATAATATGCCGGATGTGTCACAAATAACAACAAATCCCTCAGAAACTAATGGTACTGGAATTGATAATTTGGCAGAATTATATTCACCAGCTATGATGGCAAATTCGGACAAAAGTAATTCAAATTCCGATGACACATTGCAGTAAATTAATTAATAGTGGTGATTTTTTTTGGTTTAAACGATATATTATAATCCTTCTATAGAAATTCTATTGATTTATTAATTGATTCATTTATGTGCTTTTTTAGAAAATTGGATTAAGATTGTAAAATAATTTAATATAATATGCTTTCGGAAGTAATATAAAATGTTAATATTTTTTTTTAAAATATAAAGTTTGTTTTTGTTTTGGTTTGTTTTGGTTTGTTTTGGTTTGTTTGTATCACATAGAATCTTATGTAAACTTACGCAATTCATTATGTTATACTTTGATTGTTTATGTAAATAAATTATTTATGGATTTTTTATTTAAAAGAAAATAATTCAATATCGATATGTGTTCTGCAATTTTTAATTATTCTTTGTTATTAAATAAAAATATATTTATTTACAATTTTAGGTTTAATACTTTAAAAACATGTCACAATTTCTAGATATAATTTTAAAAAACCTGTATATGTACATATCAGTATCAGTATGTACGGGTTTACTAATTTTTCCTCCAAAGATCCTATTGGACGCTGTTTTTGATTTGACGAAATAGATTATACAGTATTAGCGTTAGTATCGGACTTTCGATCAGGTTAAACCGAATAAATATGGCATGTCTCTTAAGTACTAATCATTATCGTTATGGTTAGTATAAAAACTGTGTAGAGGTTTAAGTTATACTAAAATTTTGCACGAAAAATAGGTTCATAAAACATTTTAATTCAGTTTCAAGTTGTTTTAGATCTTATAATTTGATTGGTAAGACAATCATGTGCTGTGACTTATTCTGGCAAATCAAACTACTGGAATTTGTGGGTTTAAATTTTCGAGTACACGTGTTTTTCTATCAGACTGTTTCGGAACGATCAAAATTTATTGGTTAATTCCCTATGCACCACATCAATCAAGGCTTCTCATATGCAAGTATTTTTGTAATTTTAAATAAAGAATACTAAAATTTACACTGAACAAATCACAACTCACATGGTCGAGATTTTTTTTCTTTTCGTAATAGTTAATTTCTTTTCGTCAAGGCTTTTTATATCATTAAACATTTTTCGGATTGATACAAGTTTTATTTGATTTTTGATAAAGTTACAAGGAAAAATCACAAGATTTTCTCTTAAGATTCTTACAAGTTAGTCACATTTAGAGGTGGTCTTTTTACATTTTTACATTTGCACTGATTAATGAGATTATATTTCGTATTACGTATGTGTAATTACCGATTGAAGAAGTTGAGATTACATCTTTAGATAAGGTATCGCTCAACATCCACTTTTGAATGGTACTAAAATTTCAAGAAAAATAATTTTAAGCTAGGTTACAGACAACTTTGATACTTTGGATTAATTGTATACCAAATTTTTTTCGAAGGATTTTATTTATTTATTGATTTTTTTTTTTTGATAAAGTTTGGCCGCTTAAACTCGGATATTCGAAAAATATTATCGTCTTAGCTACTTTTTGTGTTGAATTGATCTTCTTGACTATCTTTATGCAGAAAAATGGGGAGGCATGGATCTGTAGGCCACAGAGAAATTGCAACCCCATTATATATTACTCTGATGACACAAGCTTGTGATAGAAGTATATTTATGAGTATTGAAAAATCTAATATATATCTGTTTTTGCGCCAGTTCGACGATGCCTTCGAAGGTATTCGTAGTGTTTATAAAATAAGAATAGAAAGAACGTTCCTTACTGACCGAGAAATCAGTCGTAATATAGCTTATTTAAAAAGACAACTTGGGATAAATATAGAAATGTATAAATTACTACTTTCATTTTGTGGTAAACGCATTCTTTGCTAATACCTGATATTTTTAATAATTTTAAGGCATGTTCTTCTCCATTTGCTGAAGAATTACAATAGAGCTGAACAACTTACCCAAATCAGATTTAACATGGGAGAATCCACTGGCTAGTAAAGTAATCAGTGATGAATTTGACTTAGTTAAAAAATTAAACTGGGGGCCCAAACAGTCTTTTATGAAACTCAAACAGTGAATGCAAGTTCAAACACCTTTCAATATAGAAAATATGTGTAATAATTTTGTTGAAAATTTTCATAATGATAACATAGAAGCTTTACCACTAAAGTTTTCTCATAATAGTACATGAAAAGAAAGAGAGGAGGTGTTATCAAATATTACTGAAGAAATTCTCTATTCCTTAGGTGATATTTGGTAAAATCCTGTTTTCGATGCAGAGTTTGCAGAAGGTCAAAGTGAAGGTACATACATAACAGATGTAATAATGCCTCTTATTCAAAGTGTACTAAAAAAACTTTCAATTAAGAAACATGTTTTTTTTAGCATGTAACTTTGAAAAAAATTTTATTTATTAAAATAAACAAGCAATTAATTTATATATTTTTTTTATTTCAGGACTAAAAGACAAAGTTTAGCCAGTGTTGATAGAAGAGCAATTGATGGAAAACAGGATAAATGTCTTGATATTATGCTTATAGAAAAGCATCATGAAAAGTTACATGTACTTCTATTTGCTGAATGTTCTTGCCTGATTTGCAATGATAATAAGAAAAAAGAGGATGAAGTAAAATTATGGCAAGAAATAAATGATAGAATGTATTATGTTCACAAAACTTGTAAGCCTGATAAAGATAAATTTGGAATCATAGGTATACAAATTGCGGAGAATGAAATGCATTTAAATGTTCTCATTAAAGATAAAAATGACATCTATCAACTTTATCATTATGTTGTGTTAAAATTCTAGTAAAGCCATGTAATGGTAATAATGTATTATGTTTTGTAGAAGCATTTTTATTTTTATGAAATATCTTGATTGTCAATCTATCTTTATTACATTATTCATTAAAAATCAAGTCCTCAAGAAATAAGCAAAAAAGTTCTAATGTAACTAATGATAATAAAAATTAAGTCTATTTTATATAGAGCAATAGAATATATTTTTTAAAATTATATTGTATTTCATTTTTATTCTTATATCAACAAATCTGGTCCTGGTAGTTGATTTCATATATATAATCATGTTTACTTTTGCATATATATTTTAGAGTTTTATTATATTGTATTAATATTGATGTGATTAAAAATTTTTCTTGACATTTTTTTTTAACAAATATCAAAAAATATTAAACTAAGACAGATTGAAATTTCTGAGACAGGGTCTGTCTTGAAAAATTTGAAAGTATGGATGATTTTGCAAAGTGTATTGTTAATTCATTCAATATTAATGAGGTATTGCAACATTTAGCTCAGCTGTACAATATAGCTATAGGTACAAAAGATCAAGCTTTAAAGTCTAATCAGAAAGAAATCATGTGCTAGTCTCTTTATAATAGGAATTTTGAATTTTAAGTTGTTGAGATAAGTAGTAAAAATAGAATTAGTGAGAAAAAAGCAAGAATCTTAATTTATAATAAAATTGAAAATTAACTTCTATTCTTTGTAAAAAATGATTACAAGATTTGGGCTTACAACTTCCAAATATATTACAAAATACCTTATGCAAAAAAACTAAAAGAGTTGTAAAAATTTATAAGTTATTCAAAAAGATAGATCTAGATAAAATTAAATATATAGAGGTGTGGCAACCTAGTGAAGTGGTTAGGTTGTTAACCTTCCAAGTAGTAAGTTGGGTGTTCAAATCTCATCGATAATGAAAATATGAATAATCACCTATATAATATTCATATTATGGCAACTGTTACTAATGATTAGGTTAAGATACATATAATGATAGTCATACTAACATAACTGGTAGATTATAGAATATTTATGTAAGTATGACATTATACAAAGAAATGCAAACTGACAAATTAGATAGTGCAAACACTAGATAAGTCCTTGTGACTATATAAATCTGTTGAAATTGGGTAACAAGAAGTTCATTTGAGAAGATCTGAATAGAGAGGTAGCTGGATCTTTGATAGTTCTACTGTAAAAACTAGCTTGAAGAAACAGATACCAAGATCATAGTACTTGTTTATAGTAATCAGATGGATAAGAATCTTTGGATTAAGAGTCTCAAAAGTATCATTAATCAGACCATCAGAATGAACTAAAAAAAAAGATATTAGACTAACCTAATATATCAATAGACTGGTTATAGTTCTATACAGACTATTTGGATTAGGAGTTTAGTAAAAAAATAGATAAAAAGGCAGAAGTATACTAAAGTACTAGGATTATGCTATGAAGTAGATGCTGAAGTCTAAGTGAACTTTACAAGGACATAATGGTTTAATGGTTAAGTTCTGACCACAAGTGTTAGTTCTGTCATAGTGATACCTAGGTCAGTTATAAAAATGGATACAGAAGGCTCTAAAGGGTTTATCTCAAGAATAAATTAGTTCTAAGGTTAAGATGATGATCTGGGCATCTAAATATGACTCAGTAAGTTAATACAAATTACAAGTTTAAAAGATTTAAAGTGGAACATCCAAGCAGGGATATTAGGTATGACAATTGGTAAAGAACCTTCAGGCAGACTTCTTAAATAGATAATATAAAAAAGTTATATATATAGCCAATTGTATGCTTTTCTGTAATGGTCTATTGAACTACAATATTAATAAGTAATTAATAAAAATCAAAAGACCAAAGAGGTCATCTTAAAATCCAAAAAAAAAATTAAACATATTAAGAATTATGTACAAATTCTATCTTAGAACTTACTAATAACCAAATTCAAGAGATTATTAATTATAGTTCAGAAAGTCAAATCTCTAATTCTCCTTTATTTGAAATTATATCTAAAGTATCTTTTGAAGATAATATAACTAAAATTTTCAGGATAGCTTGTTTCAAAAATGTTTTATTAAAAACTAAAATAAATATATCATTTGCATTACAATCTAAAAAAAATTTACTAAAAGTAGAAGTAAATATGTATTCAAATCTCAAACTGAATCAAAGACCTTACCTGAAAAACAGAATAATCCAACTTGTGATCAATTCTATTTTCATAACAAAACATTGAATCAATATCCTAATTTATATTAAAAAGGTAGTAATAAAAATTTTAATTATTATAAGATTATTAATAAGACATTATGTCTATTATGCAAATTAGATTATAATGATGATGAAGATATAAAAAATAAATATACAAATAATAGAGTCTCTAATTCATATGAAATTGGATTTTATTATATAAAATGTAAAAAGTAAGGAGTTGAAATTAAGATAATAACATAAAATTTATCTTATATTAATACAATTCATTTAAGTCTTTAGGATGTCTCTCTGAGGCATATTTTTTTTGTTAAATATTATTAATTTAAAGAGATAACAATTATATAAATAATAATATGAATATACAAATAAAGTTTAATAAAATATTAGTTCCTGAATATTTAAAATAGAATAATAAATTTACTAGATTACTAAGTGTTTTAATTAATAAAATCTATTCCAAGTTATATAAGAGATACAAAAAAGAAACTGGTCTTAATTTCTGAATAAACTCTGAAACTTTTAAACCTACTCAAATTGTAGATAATAAAAATAAAACAATAGTATGCATATTATCTATAAAAAAAATGTATCTCTTAATTCTCATCTTCTAATTTTTATTTTATTTGAAGATCCAGATAAAAAATAAAATCCTGTTATTTATACCACATTGAATTAATTCAATAATTTATTACTTAAACATAGTATTAAAAATAAAGATTATTATAATTATTGGTCGTCTCATTAAGCATGATACACCAACTTGATACATTTGAATTAAAATGTAATTACACAAAATTTTACATATTAACTTGCAATTAAATAAATATATT